TCTGCCTCGAAGCTTCTTGGTGTAGCTCTACCCCAACTGGGGCCTTCTTGCTGCAGCGCCCACCAAGGTAATGAAGATGGGAACCACCATATCCARGTAAGTATCTATGGCGCTCCCCTTTCCTGGTCCTGGTCTTCTTCTCCCCGTGTCCTTGCTCCTTCCCCAACTCCAACCAGTGTGTCACAAAGCTTGCACACCGACAATGAGGAGGAGCGACGTGCTCCTCCTGGAGATATAATGGCCTACTTGCCTCTTGGCGAGTAACTTCGTAGGCCGCACGGCCTCCAAGCAACAGGTACCTCCTCCCTTTCGGAGGGAAACATCATTGCAGACTCTGATATTGCCCGTACAGGCCCTAAACTCAGTCTGGTTGGATTGATACCCTTCTAGACCTATCCTACAAGTGCTAGGCCTCGAAACCTGTCAGTTTTTGCCTTCTTCTGCTCGGCCTCGAGTACCCAACATATCTACCTCTACTTGTGTGGTACCAACCTACCTGCTACTTAAGTGTTTTCCGTTGCTCTAAGTGTCGCGGACCTCTTTCCCCGCCACTTGAGTGTTTTCCCCGCCGCAACTCTCAATGTCACGGCCATAGGTAAGTACCGGCTCTTCGGGCCCTCTGAACAAGTGCCCTTGTGGGTCACACACACGCTCAAGCTGACACGCACTCAAACATGCATGCAGACCAGCAAGCACGCACCCACACTGACTTAGAAAACTCAGCAACAAGCAGGAAACCTAGCAAGGCATACATTCCATGAGCAAAACTCAAAATACAGCTGTGTGTCTCAGTCTATGTTGGGCAGGTCATTACACTAGCCCCCTCTCAAGAGCGAGGTCCCTTCGAGCGAGCAACTCATTCTAAATCACAGACCAGATGCAATGAGTTTTCCAAAGATTTTTAGTATAGCATTAGAGGTTATCTATCGCTCGTATGCTTGAAAAAATATGAGGTGCGTTGCACATTGATTTCTTCTTTAAGATCCAATAGAGATCGTCTAACGGGCGATACATGAAGTGAATCTGATATTGTCTGTTATGTTCCCTCCATATGTGCTTTTTGATTCTATCGGTTTTGTGACCGCTATTGATTGCAAGAAGAATCATGTCTTCACGATGATCGAAGGACTCGACATCACGATATATAAACAATTTTGATGCACGAAAGACTGGGTACGTGTGCAAATGAGGAGGCACGACAATTACATATAAAGGACCGAAATCATCACTACTAATCACGTCAAAAACTTCCCACGAACCGTGGTAGAGAGAGAGAAGTTTGCATGACCCCCCCTCTTTTTCTGAAAATTCAGACGTCTAGACCCAAGCATAACTTCCCACTTTAATAGTCGAAGGTTGACATTTCTTATTCGCATCATGGATCATGGAGTGTTGTCACTTGGTCATTGCTGCAATGACAACTTTGAGCAAGCGATCATACTTGGCGTTGAAGCCAAGTCTGTCGGGCGTTAGACTAGCCGACTGTTCAAGGACTAAGTAAGAAAGCAAATTACGAATCTGCCAACCATGAAGCAGTCTGTTTCGGGTCATGCCGTTGGAAAAATGGATGAAGTTGTTGTACAACCCCTTGACTGAATACAACTCTTCATCCCACATTTCTTAATCCAGAATGATTAAAGCATAGAGAAGTTGAAATACGGTTTGGTTAATCTCCTCAGCCAAACCATTGGCTTCGGGATGTCGGTCAGATGCCATGCTCAGTTTCAGGCCAGGTAGTTGGGACGTGAAATCCTTCCATAAAAAACTTATGAAGTACAGGTATCGATCACTCACAAGGGTTTTCGGGGTACCAAACTGCAAAATGTACTTCTGGTGGAACTCACAGATCACAAGTTCAGTTGGGGCATGAGGTGGCAATTTGGAAAAACGATCAACAATCACCATCACTTGCTAATAACCATTCTTACTTTTCTTTCCCATGTCCGTGAAGTCGATAGAGACGGACTTTCCGGGACCGTTGGGAATGAGAAGAGGTTTAAGCAGCCCCTTGGACTTTTGTCTTGATGGCTTGATTCGTTGACAAACTTGACACTCAACCACAAACGTTTCAACAGATCCTTTCATACCAGGCCAATCAAAGTGTTGCAATAGGTTTCCGTAAGTCTTTGCCATGCCGAAGTGTCCAGTCCAAGAAGTGAGTGCAGAGATGCTCATGGATGAGTACATACAAACGGTCATTCTTTCCATAGCGTCGAGAAACCAATCCTTCACATTCATGAAAATCAAGCAGACTGTTGGGGTCAACTGCAACTGCTTAAGGATCGGACTAAGGTCCGGGTCCCTGGCAGATTGCTCCACGATCTCCTCCTTCAGTTTCTACTGGAGGTCGTAAGAGTTCACAAGGCAAGTCACCTGCTCGGGATGGCGAGACAATGCATCAACCACTCGAGTATAACAACCTTTTTTGTGTCTTAATTTAAAATAAAAAATGTCAATCTCATCGAATTAGCGAGTCAACGTAGGGAACAAGGTGTTTTACTCCTTGATCCATTTCAAGGTCTCACGATATGAGAAGACCTTGAAACGGCGTCTCAAAAGATAGTGCTTCTAATGATTCAATGCCTCGCGCAAAGCATAGAGCTCGTGCCTGTATGTGGAAGTAGTTACCTTTTCATTGGGCATGCGTTTGGTGTAGTACTCGATCGGCCGCAAGCCATCACCGTCATCTTGTTGCAGCATTGCGCCAATCCCACACTGACTCGCATCCGTAGTGACTTTTTTTTTTTTTTTTTTTTTTTTTTTTGTTGCAGGGTGCTGACTGACCCCGGACCGGTAGGCGCCGACCAGTCCGATGGTCGGCTGGTCGGCCCCCGACCAATCCAGGCGCGCCAGCCCCCGGCGTGACTACTCTGGTTCTGGCTGAAAAAAGACACAGTGGTGGTTCGGCAAAGCTTGGTGCGCAGTTCTTTTCCACCTCGGCAAAAAGAGGCTCAGAGGTGGTGGCGGTTTAAGAACAAACATGGGATGCCAGAATCACCAGATCATGGATTCAAAATTTCAAACCCCATTGCGAAAAGGGAAAAAATCACGACTTCTTTCACTTTATATAAAGTTTATAATACTCTATATCCAATTTGACCCATCCACTCACTTCTCGATACTTACCAGAAGTAGCTTTCGCAGAAAAGGAAGTAGCAGCTTTTTTGCAGATCTTCTCGAGGATGCTGCAAGCAGGCCCTCTATGATTACACTGGCTTTATCGATGTCGAGATTCGTATCAAAGAGATTCAGAAGAGCGATGCATGATGGCATGCACAGATGGACTGCCTCAAGGTTCATCGCCATCAGATCTCCATTTTTCACCCTCTCATAGATGTATTGCAGGGATGCCTGCTTTGACAGCTCCATATGCATTCCTAAAAGGAACTTGTGCGCAACTCTGACCTCTGATGGAAAAAATGACGAGGAAAGAATAGCCTGCACAGTCGGACGTCTGCTTTGTCACATCCAAAAGTCAACCCCCCCGTCCCCGCCCCCGCCCCCGCCCCCGCCCCCGCCCCCCCAAAAAAAGAGAATAGAGAAAAGAAAAGAATAACAACACCTGCTTCAGGTTAGCAAAAGAAAAATTGCACCCCAACACGGACAAAAAGCCTAAAAAAAAGTCGCACCCAGCTGCCCCCGGCCGGACCCGGCAGCTGCGGGCAGGTCTGGCTAGCCCATGTCCCACCTGGGGGCAATTGTATTATTGTAGTGAAAAAAAACAGGCCAGTTGTGGGTGGCCTCTTGTAAACAAAAAACAAAATGGCCAGGCGTGGGCGAGTCTAGACTTGGCATGGGTCACCCGCCAAAAAGATATGCATGTATGCATGTGGGGGTCTACACCCATGCATATATGTCTATTGGGGTACCGGCCCCTATTTTCATGATTTTTTTTCAATTTAAACAGACCACCGGTTTGCTGGAGGTGTGACCTCGGATTCCCCTTGTCCGCACCAGTTCTGAGCCGCCAGTTTGATACTTAGGGAGAGTCCCACGGTCCCCCCTGCAAGGTGGGGGCATAAGACATTCTACGCCCGTCGGCACACTGGCACGCGGGCTCCGCCCTCGCCGCGAGAGCAGCTCGGGCAGACCAGCGGCAGCCAATGACATCGAGGCGCAGACCCCTAGGCCCAGCCCTCAGAGACAATCCTTTTCCCAAGGTTACGGATCCATATTGCCGACTTCCCTTACCTACATTCTKCCTTTGACCAGAGGCTGCTCACCTAGGAGACCTGATGCGGTTATGAGTACAGCCGGGCGTGAGGGCTAACCGCAGCTCCAGATTTTCAAGGGCCNTTTTTTTTTTTTTTTTTTTTTTTTTTTTTTTTTTTTTAATTTTAAGAAACGCACCCGTCAGTGCTAACAGTGCTGGTACGAGCAGACACCGCTAGCACTTGGGGAGGGCTCCATCTATTGGTGGGGAGCAACACCTGCTGAAAATCGGGTCCAACATCCCTTACATAGACAAAATTCAAATCACATCAGATCTTCATCAGAAGAGTGTGGCCCGATCTTGCCAGCATTGATTACCCTGGGTCCGGGGGATTGACTGAGCAGGAGGTTGGGAGGGGGGGGGCCTCTTCACCCTACACCTGGCGCCAGAAATCTGCTCTCTCTTCCTGACTCCCCCCACTTCCAAATTCTGAAGAACAAAACTGCTGGGCTGGTCCCTTGTCGAGTGTCTGAGCTTTTGGCGGGGAACAACACCTGCCGGGAACCGGGTCCAGCGTCCCTTGCATAGACAAAATTCAAAACGCATCAGATCTCATCAGAATGTGAGTTTGGAAGCTACAATGCAGAGTACATGATAACTTACTAAGGCCTCTTTCAAGGCTTGAAAAGCGGTCTCACATGTTGCATCCCACATGTAAGATACATTTTTGCTTGTTAGTTTGGACAACGGGCGAGCAACAGTAGAAAATCGGGTCACGAACTTCCGATAGTATGATGCAACACCAAAGAAAAAACACAATTCACGGACGTTCGCGGGTTGAGGCTACTTGCGTATGACTGCAACCTTGGTTGCCTCATGTTCAAGGCCTGCAACAAACAACCGGTGCCCAAGATGGATGACGCTGTCCCTCCCAAACTGAGATTTCTCTAAGTTGAGATGCAATTGCAATTTTTTTAAGATCGTTAACACTTCCTCAAGGTGCTTCATGTGCTCCTCAATTGATTTTCCGAAAATCAGAATGTCATCAAGATACACAACCACAAACTGACCAATCTGTTCGCGAAGGACCTTGTCCATAAGACTATGAAAGGTGGTGGTCAGGGCATTCGTGAGACCGAAGGGCGTTACTGTGAACTCGTAAAGCCCGTCACATGTCTTGAACGCAATCTTGTGCTGATCTGTATGATCGACTTCAAGCTGGTGGTACCCAAACTTGAGATCGATCTTGGAGAAAACCGTGCACCCACATACAACATCAAGCAAATCATTTACGTGGTAATGGGTATGTATTCTTCCTTGTGATGCAGTTTAGACCACGGTACTCAATATACGTATGAAGTTTGCCACCTTTCTTTGGGAGAAACAAAACGGATGTTTCGAATTCAGATCGCTAGGCTTAATCCATCCCTTGTCGATCATCTCATCGACCGGTTTTTGAAGTTCCTCAAACTCACCGGATCCCATACGGTATATACAACACTTTGGAGGAACAACGCCTTCGACCAACTCAATCGTGTATCGGACCGATCGCGTGGGAGCTCCACGAGGTTTGACCAAAACTTCCAAAAATTGGTCGAGTAGGCTTTGGATGCTTGTTGGGATCGACGGGGGTGGGGGTCAGAAAAGTGATTACCTAGATCACGTCGCAAGTTATTAGTGACAACAACTGAATCCGAAGTAGACTCATTTGAAATAGAAATAGGTGTATGGATAAAAGTAGATTTATCATGCAGAGTACAATTATTACCGATCGCAAAAATAGAAGGTACATGAGTAGGATAAGCAAAGGCAACATAAAATTGTTTATCCTTCTTATGCCTGCGTCACTTCTTGCAAAACTGCATGGCATTAAGAAAAATCATCGGGGATTCGTGCTTCTCATCCAAGAGGACGGGACGCTCATTTCCTTGTGCAATTTTTACCATGAAAAACGATTTCTTCCACTTGGTCCATTCGCATTGGGACTGCAACCAGCCCAACCCGAGGACTCTGTTAAAGGGACACACTGCAACCCAGCCCAATCCAAGGACTCCGTTGAAGGGACACTTATTAAGTACATAAAAGTTCAATGTGTGTGTGATAGTCTTTTCTTTGTCAAAGGCAGTGCGCACACCTTTGACTGCATGCGTGGATGAGACAACCTCTTTGTTGCCTACTTGCGTCCGGCAAGGGCTCTGCAAAACCACTTGCTTCATCCCCAAGAACACTTTGCCTATCTCCTAGGGTGATATGAAATTAATTGTGGTACCACAATCAATCAAGACACAGAGATAGTGGTGGTTAATGACTCATAATGAGAAGTTTGAAGAATATTAACTTCGCTGTCCCTTGAGCACGCTGTTGTTTCATCTCAGCCCAATGCTCTAGGTGATAGTGAAAGTCGACCTTCTTGGACTCCTCCAAATGCTCAACATACAAAACATGACATTCATTAGCCTTGGAATCAACACGAGATTGAGCTTCAAGGAAGGACTGCTAGTTCGTGATATGTTCCTTGGGAGAACTGTCACTGACCGGTTCGGACTCCCTTGTTGTTGAGTGTGTCGATGAACCCTCTACACCCGATTCAGGTTTCCCTGCAGCCTAAAGCATCCTTGGACCTTATGATTAGTTTTCTGGCAATGCATGCAACCTCCTGTCTTTATTCCAACCTTCCGTTCAGCCTCACTGATCCAGAGGTCCACCCAAATTTTTAGTACTTGCGTCCTCTAGATTGGCTAGGATTTTGGCTCCCTTAGGGAGTGCGACGAAGTTCCTTACCGAGTTTCGGTTTTGGTTTCCCCTCGCATGGACAATATTTTTGACGACACAAAATTTTTAATCTTTGCTATTCATCTCAGATTCTTGGGCGGAAGAGTAGGTTGTAGCAGCATCCTGTTCTTGGACGTCGCCAAGAGTGAGGTTATCTGCTTCGGCCTCCCCTTCCACCTCCAACAAGTCAAGCGCAGCAAGACGGTTGGTGCCACGAAACCATCTATGAACAAATGTCTTTTTGCCGCTTTTTGTGATAAGGAGGTTTCTTGCCTCTAGTCTGACTACATCCTTCATCAAGGAAAACTAGTTAGTGTAACCAAATAAATCTCTCCCTAGGCGATTGGTGAAATTGGTGGGAACCGTACCTTTAACAACATCCAAGCACGATTGCGATGTCAGTTCCAATCCTGGTGTCGCAAAGAGTTTGCTAACATGCAACTGCAATTTGTGCATGGTGCCCTGCCACTTGCTGCGTTTAATTTCGTTGAGTTGGATCCTCACTTTAGATGCAACATGTGGGTCCTTGTACGACGCAACTAGTATCTATCCGAGAGCGGCAACCAGGGTGACTTTAAGCCACTCCGTTAGATCGATCTTTGGATACCCAACTTGCATAGCTTGGACTTTTAGGAAGCCCCTTACGACAACCTCGATGTTTGTCCCTAGGATCAAGGACCGTTTCACTCTTCGAGTGCCCTGTACCTTAAAGTAAGCTCTTATGGAGTTGATCCAAGAGTCAACATCTTCCGCTGGAACCATATGAGTACCTAGCCGACTCATTTCGTTGCGTAAGCTCTTATGGAGCTAGTCCCATCTGAGTACCTAGCCGACTCATTTCGTTGAGCTTAAGCTCAAAATCATATCTAAGTACCTAGCCGACTCATTTCGTTGAGTAAGCTCAAAATCATATTCGGGCGGTATCATTAAAGTAAGCTCTTATGGAGCTGATCCAAGACTCAGCATCTTCCGCTAGGTACTCAGATGGACTGCTATAGCTGGAACCAGCCATTGCTGGGTCTGATCTCAGGCGTGCAACAGTTACATAATTCCCTACGTTGTCGCTTGTAGCGGCAACATAATCTGCACCTGTTGCAGGTCCTGCAAGGTTTACCACCAAAATCAACGAAGAAGAATAAAAAGAGGAAGAAGGATGGAGAGGTGCAAAAGGAAGAACGGTTAGCAACAAGAGGTAGGGGAAGAAAGTTTGAGATTTGGGCATGATGCATGATTGTCATCTATTATATCTAATCGTGATGCTCCATGACCATGTTTTCCATCTGAGTACCTAGCCGACTCATTTCGTTGAGTAGCTGGGACTTTATACTCGGAAGCTCGATGAGCAAATGATAATCTATGAGGGCACGTACATACCTGACCAAATCTTTCTTAGCGTTTGCATTGGGCATGGTTGAGACTGTTTTCAAAATGGTCTCAAGACCTTCAACAATTGCTTTCCGCTTAGCCTCTTCCTCCTTCTTCTCCTTGGCCATTTCCTTCCGATAGAGGGTCTGGTACAACGATTTATCCTCGTCATCCGCTGCATCCACTTGAGCATTTAGAATATCAGAAAGCTTGGCTGGTGCCATGTTGGAAGTACTAAATCCTTCAGTTGCCATGACCTCTCTATCTCTCTTCTCTCTTGTCCGCGCGTCGTGATGATCATAAAAGGAACTTCAGTAAAAAAAACAAACTGAAAGCAAAAGAAGAGAAGGTAGAACTCCTAGCTGGAGCGGCAAAATATTTGGACTAAAGAACAACCAAATAAAAAAATAAAGATAATTCAGAAAAGAGTTATGACTCCGCGTTTTAGTCCCGTCAGACCAAGTACTAGGTCCCGTCGAGCTTCATCCGATCGGCATCGTCAAAGTACAGCAAATCAGGCTACAGGTAACAACATACAACAATGGAGAATTGAGTGGTGTATAAGGTGCAGGTCAAGTATCGGATTGTGCGTCATCATTCCGCAAAACATCTCAATCGAGATCCCGTGTCAACAAATTTGAGTCCAAGGGGTCCTTTTTTGGGCCTGGTCTCACTGAGTCCCAATGGGTCCCACGTAAGTCGCGACCAAGTCCCAAGCAAGACGAGTGCCACAAGGTCCTACTTTCTGCCTCTATCATACTGAAAAAATGAATTTCAACTTTAAAAGAGAACCTAATGACTACATCCATTCAGAACGAAAAGACAAAGCATTATAGAAAGATATGGCATTCAAAGCAAGATACTTCATCTCTACATCCATCAGGTTAGTAAGCAGTTTGCACACCAATGCACACAACCAAGACTTAAGAAGAGTAGAAAAGAGACCCACAAGTACCCCAACAGGACAAACAATACCATGCACGCACAAATGGGGAAGCCTTAGGTGCACGACACTTACCTGAGTGGCCCGGAATCTGAGATGAGGTATAACTCACCCCCCTTCCTCACATGGTCCTCCTAACCCTATTCGCTACCTCTACACTAGTGTCCTATCATTTAGGAGGGTCCGACTCGTACACCAAAGTGCAACGCCGGATCCCCCGTCGATGCTGAAGAACAAAGGAGCAACTTCCAGTCCGTAGATGCAGAATGGCTACCTCCCCCGCAAGATCGCGCAATTGAGGGAGGCGCTTAAGTCACCAAGTGTCTCACTTAGGTTAGATTCCAGGTGCGAGTGCCTCTCACTGTCGCCTCTCTCAAATTGTCGCATGACGTCCTCTTGATGTGTCTCGCCACCACAAGCTCACTCTCAATCAACCTGGTCAGGTTCAGTGTTGACCCAACATGACCTAACCAGGTGGGGGCAGCTTCCCTAATCCATGCTGCCCCACTTCCCACTTCGGACCAACCCTAACCCTAAGTGGTCAGCCCTAACCACTTAGGTTAGGGTGAGGGTGGATAAGTCAACTCTCACCAGCAAGTAGAATCTGCTCTGATACCAATGTTATGAACCTGGACAATTTCGAAGTACACACTCATCAGAAAGTACAATGCCGTCCTATTGCGAAAAAAAATGAATGAACTTGAGAGGAGAGCCAGGGAAAGAAGAAGAAGAAGAAGAAAGAAAGAAGAAGAAGAAAGAAAGAAGAAGAAGAAAGAAAGAAGAAGAAGATGATGTACACCAGCATAGACCAATGATAATGCTCTTCTTCTTCGCCAACCACTCTCCTCCTCCTTATCTCCTCCCCTCTTATTCAATCAAGAAACAATAATAATAATGTTGAATGGCTGAACCAGAATCAATGTCTGAACCCCTCTTCTACTGCAGGTATCACATGAGGTCCACCATAGCCATGGCCGCCCTTCTTCCTCCTTCCTCCAAGGGCGAGGCTATGGCAAACAACCAGGGCATCGCCCTGCTGTGCAAAGAACAACACAAAGCAGCTATGGCTGCTCTAGCTCAGGCCGCCATGCCTGACTCTGCCTCAAAGCTTCTTGGCGTAGCTCTCCCCCAACTGGGGCCTTTCTGCTCCAGCGCCCACCAAGGTGATGAAGATGGCAACCACCAGCTAGGTAAGTACCTCTGGCGCTCCCCTTTCCTAGTCCTGGTTTTCTTCTCCCCGTGTCCTTGCTCCTTCCCTAGCAGCGCTGCTCAGAGCTAGCATTGCTCCAGCCAGCGCTCAAACCAGTGTGTTGCCAAACTTGCCACACCGACAATGAGGAGCACCTTGCTCCTCCTGGAGATAGAGCGGTCCGCTTGCCTCTTGGCGAGTGACCTCCTAGGCCATGTGGCCTCCAAGCAACCGGTACCTCCTCCCTTTCGGAGTGAAACAGCATTGCAGACGCTGATATTGCCTGTACAGGCCCTAGACTCAGACCGGTTGGACTGGTACCCGCCTAGACCTAGCCTACAACTACTGGGCCTCTAAAAATGCCAACTTTTGCCCTCTTCTGCTCGGCCTCGAGTACCCGGCACATCTGCCTCTACTTGGTGTGGTACTGGCCTACCTGCAATGTTTTCCGCTGCTCTAAGTGTCGCGGACCTCTTTTCCCGCAACTTCAGTGTTTTCCCCACTGCAACCCTCAATGTCACGGCCCTAGGTAAGCCCGAATAACCAAGTGCCCTTGCGGGTTACACACACACTCAAACCGACAAGCACTCAGACAGGCATGCAGACCAGCAAGCATGCACCCACACAGACTTAGAAAACTCAGCAACAAGCGGGACAGTCAGTGAGGCATACATTCCATGAGCAAAACTCAGAAATCAGCTGTGTCTCAGTCCGTGTTTGGCAGGTCATTACATAATGGTGGTTTAACCGTTTCCCCCCCCTAGCATACTCATCTGACACAAGAGCGCATGTATAAGGCTGTGACTGATTGCAATGCAATTTGTTCTTTCACTGAAACTTGCTCGGTACATCCTCTCTCTCTCTCTCTCCTCTCTCTCTCTCTCTCTCTCTCTCTCTCTCTCTCTCTCTCTCTCTCTCTCCTCTCTCTTATACACATCTAGATGTGTATAAGAGACAGGGCCTTAGCAGTCCGCCACAGCCTCGGCCTTCATGAAGAGGAAGGAGAAGGGTGGCCATGGCTATGGTGGACCTCATGTTGTACCTGCAGTAGAC